CGGAAAAACTTTATTTAAGACAATTAAGTTTAACAAACAATTTATTACATGGTTGTACTCATAAAATTTAAGTAACAATTTATTACATGGTTTTGCTTAAAATAATGCATTAAGAACAAAAGAGGCGTTGCGATTTCGATACTGATTTGTGATACACGCTGTTTGACTGTACGTGGCGTGCCCTTGACGTCGTATAGATGTATACACCCTACCAAAACGTGGCAAGGCGTCGGGTAGCAACGGGTAGCAACGGGTAGCGTCGCGTATTCTATTATTAATAAAACTATGTAACTAATTAATTCACTACTTTCGTGGTCCGCTTGACCAATTAATACATGACAATTAATTAAGGTTTTTAGTTGAGATGAAAAAAAGCTAATGGCACGAGAGGGATTCGAACCCACGACCTTCGGCTAGTTATGCCGCTGCTCTACCACCTGAGCTATCGTGACCTCGATCCACTCGGACATCAACTCCCCATCTCAACCCCACCTTATGAGTTTTCCCTCCTTTTGCCATTTTTCAAATGTCGTGTAATCGGTTTGGATTCTCGACGACAATTGAAATGGCGACGGAGAGCTTTAGTGAAGTGTACTTCATTTTAATTCATTAAATTCACTAATTTCGTGGTCCGCTTGACCAATTAATACATGACAATTAATTAAGGTTTTTAGTTGAGATGAAAAAAAGCTAATGGCACGAAAGGGATTCGAACCCACGACCTTCGGCTAGTTATGCTATTTTTCAATGAATGAATGCCCATTTGAAAAATACCTTTTTTTCATCTCAACTAAAAACCTTAATTAATTGTTATGTAACTAATGTTGTAGCTGACTAAATTATACAAAATGGTGCATGCTTTGTAAACGTATTGTGTTTTTTAGAAGCTAGAATGCAGGCTGATAATTCATCAGTGAAATTATTCAGTTCGTCATCATTAAAACAGAACAGCTTTCCGTCAATTTCAAAATGTTTAATAGTTTGCAAAATGTTTATTTATTTAACCCATTGATCCATAAGGTGTTTCATTTCGTATTAATAATACAATAGTAACTTCTCATTATACAGTAATCCAGTAAAGACTAGTTGACTTCGACTTCGTGTCGTAGGTAGAAAGAAGATCAAGTGCAACTATTTTTGCCAAGTCATCAATGAAATATAATGCTTTGGGTTGCTATCGAGGAAAACGATCCACTTCTATTATTAATGCAGGCCTTCTTTTTTCACCTGTCTAATGACCTCTACGAGGATTGGAACCCTACATAGATTATCTGCAGGTCGATCAACAAACATCATATTTTTTACTGTTCATTGCACGCCAAAATTTTGGTTTGAGGATTGGCCATACGCAGTTGACACACGGGCACCTGCTCTTGTGTCAAATCCCGTGCAGGTGCCCCTTATGGTTGCTCCATGTGTCCAACATATTAGAGACGTGTCAGTCTTGGCTCCATACAGAGAGCCTGTAGGCATGTCGCAAGATTTAAGAATGGTTTTCGGACACGGTAACGAGTTTCAGGGTCCCCTGTTCCGCCTTTTGGAGGAATTGGGAATTTGTTATTGTATATAGAAGTTAAATTATGTGTTTTGGGTTTCCGTGTCTTGTATGAGTAAATGTATTTATTGGTGAGAATGGGGAGGGGCTGATGGCGAAGTAGCTTCTCCATCGCCTCTCAGGTTGTGTGTATGACTTGGAGTAATGGCGGAAATTTTGTAAAAATACCCCATTGACTCCAATTTAGATTAGTTTATTATAGGGAACATGTAGATGGAGGAATATCGAGTACTCCATCTACCAAACAGAATGAGTTGGTGTGAATGTATTTATTGGTGTGAATGGGGAGGGGCTGATGGCAAAGAAGCATCTCCCCTCATGTTGTGGGCATGACTTGGGACTTCGGACGAAAACTTTTAAAGTACCCCATCGACCCCAAATTAGATTCGTTTATTGTAGTGAACAGGTAGATGGAGTAATATCGAGTCTATCATCTACCAAACAATATGAGTGGTAACAATAGGAATGAATGTATTTATTGGTGTGATTGGGTATAGAGTGTGTAACCTTACCACAACGTAATTAGCAGTTATTTAATTATAGATTATTTTTTGTTCCCAAAAAACTGCTTATTGCCATTATCCCAGATTTGTTCTGTCTATCATGAACACGGGAAGCAAACTGAGAAAGTGTGAATGGCAGGCAAAGAAGGGGGATTTATTTTAAGAAGCAAGCAACACATGGGTTCGCCCGGCCAAGAATAGTGGATCTGCTCTAGTAATCTTCTGTTTCCCAGAAGTGCGTTCGCATTTAACATGTTCATCGGGTGAAAGTGTTATGTTTGAAATGAGTGAGACGATCTGGAAAGGAAATTTTATGCTAAAAGTGAAGTTCAATTTAAAATGAAAATCTTTATGTTTGAAAATGTTTCACAAGTTACAATTCAGACCGGATCAGTTCCCAGAATGAAGTTCTGCTAATCTTTATAGTCTAGTGTTAAATTTCGCAAGGTGAGTGTAAATCTTAAATTGATAACAAGTAACTGTATCTATTAGAACATTAAATTTACTGGTTTAAAACATCTTTTGAAAATTTTCGATATCTTTAGATAAACGAGGAAACTTTAGGCCCTAAAATGCTTCCTATCAATTGGAATATTTCTATTTCAACGAATAACAGAAAAAAGAATAAGAACGATAAAATAGAATTTCGTGTCCAGCAGTCGTAAGTTTTCAAAGTCATTCGTGACACGTGTTGTAACATGTTGTCATGAGAGATAATCGAATCTTTCGTTGTTTTTGAAAGAATCTTTACGATTGTTCATGCTTACATATCTCAACTTGTTTTGCCTGTTTTAATTGATACATCACAAGAAGCAGCTATAAATATAGAGGATTTTTTTAAACGAAATCGTTTGATGTTTTTTGCTTTTAACATATAATTCGTTGTATTTGAGGGCATTTTAATAAGGTATTAATATAATAAACAGTATTTCGTTGATTGGATACTAATAAAATTAATGAAACAATACATAAACCAGTCAAAGAAGTCCAATTAATTGCTTCTATTAGCATAAGAAACAACAAAAGACGGACTAAGAAACTCTAATATAAAATTCAATGGCTTAAAACAGAAATAGCGAGAATTAGCAGAAATTATTACGGTAATATTGGAAACAACAAAGTAACAACATGTAGATCATTCTTTGCAAACTGTAACCAATGAAAACCTTCCTCACCATGTAATGAATGTATTTAAAGCCAAATACATATTTTATCTCTGTTAATATATTTAGATATTATAATGCAAGAAGCCAAATTTTTTCGGTCTTTACTTGCGTGAACTAAGATGGGTTTTTAAGCTGAGATGTGAGGTTTTACATGTAAATTCAACTGTGTTTGAATATGCTCCCTGTGCAATTTTCGTTCCGTCCAGACTGTATTTCAGTTTTTGGCAGAGTGCTCGATTTTGGGCGAGAATCGGCTCTAACACCTTGGTCGTTTTACTCTCGCAAGTAGTGACCCTTTGCGGTTCTTGAATGGTTCAAATTCTCGGTACTTGATTCGGTATGCTAAACCTGCTTGGAGCAACAAGTACGAATTCATTCAATAATTTAATTTTTATTTTTTAATCTTTCATTGTTATTAAGCTATCAAAATTTTACGATAGTTTATTTTTTTGTATTTTTATATATATTTTGTATTTTATTTTATTTTTCTTGCATATTGTACTTGTTTTTTTCTTTTCTTCTCTAAACTGCATATATATATGCAAGCCAATGACCTCTGGCATACGGATCGTACGATCCAAATCCATAATGATTTGGTTTTATAATTAACGATTTAATGATATTATAATCCATTTTAGTAAAAAATACACAATTAACTTTATTATTTTGATTTGCCGGTGTTTGTGAAAAAGCCCATTTGTAGGTATTTCGGGCTCGATGCAGGGCTGCGGGATTCGAACCCAGGACATTTACCTTACAGTAATGAACGCTGTGTCAACGCCTAAACCGTTGAGGCGACTAACGCTCTTGGTTTTTAATTATTATTTGGAGGTCGTGAGATGCGGTCTGGTGTGTTTTGGAAAAACATTTTCTTTATCGTTGTCAATGTTTTGATCCTTATTGAGATCATCTTCAGGGCTCAAAGTGTTTGTTTTCTGTGAAGATGTGTCATTATTGGCTGTTGTGGTGAGAGTGCCAGAATGGCATTTACGCAGAAAACAAACACTTCAAACACTTTGAGCCCTGAAGATGATATTAATAAAGATCGAAATGCTGACACGGTAAAAAAAGGTTTTTCTAAAACCTACGCAGACCGCATCTCACGATCTCCAAATAATCATTAACTAACGGTCACCAGACACCACACACGTTTTTAATTATTTCTTTTATTTACTATAAATTATCGACAGGCCTCGAGAATCGCTCATTCCGGGTTTGGCAGACCTCGGTCTTATGCTGTGAACAGCTAGGTCAATTCAGCACCTCACGCATGTAGTACCTAGATCCAAACCCATTCACACTCTCACTCATTCTTAAATAAATACTCTCTTATATACATACCATTCACTCAATTGGTGGAGGAGCATTCGATATTTCTCCATCACCCTCTATAGATATAAATTATCTTGTATAATTATTATATAGTGAAATGAGCGTGGATGAGGTACGCCGTATTCCACCATCGAACCACTTATACATTCATGCCAATAAATGCATTCTCTCTCACACGCGCTAGAGACACAAAAATATCACCACTACAATAAAACAACCTGTTTTTTCAAAAATCTGAACATTGGGTACAGTACAGAAGTCCTGTTTCCTTAGGAATGGGAACAGGGGACTCGCTGCCATGCTCAAGCAAGATTCTCATATCGGGTGGCAATTCTACACGCTCTCTATATAGAGCAACACTTCAATTCCCATTTATTATTTATAAAATAGACATACGGCTAATTTTGGTTGTTTGAAATCTTAATTTCGTTTTGTTTTTTACAGGTACCTTTGGATCACAGCTCAGTGAAATCAATAAACGGCCCTCGGCAAACCCTGAAGTAAGTAAAATATTTTCTCAAAACTTTGCATTATATTTCATAAATACTTTAATTCAACAAAACAATAAAATATGCAGAGGTTTTAGATCATAGAAAAAAATAAATATATGAGTATTATAAGGAAACGATGTACATATATGCCTGTGCGTGTGTGTGCGCGCTTCTGTGTGTGATATGTGTGTGTGTCTTTAAGTTAGTGCGTTATTTTTATTTGGTCGAGTTAATTTTTCAACTTAGTCAAATGTGAAAGTGGCACCCCGATGTTATCTTTGACTGTTCAATCAAGCAAGAAGAATTGCATACAAATAAGTGCCTTCTAGATATAATGCAAAATGTTTGCTTTTTTACCACAACCGTAACAAAAACATCCGAATTAAGCTTATACTCGAGTTAGTATCATAAAATTGCACAATAAGTCTACAATGAAGGAAAGTTTATATTATGAAAAAAATTTAAGGTGGCCATATTTAAATGTAACACCGATAGTAAAAAATTGGAGTTATATGAAAATATGTTGAACTTGGTCACTTAGTGGGTCAATCTCTATATTTGCGGCTGACGATGTCACTCAAACGCGTTTCGTCTTTGCGCCATTTTTAGTGAAGAAACGGAACGTTAAATTATTTTCTAATTTGGTCGTTTCTGATTATCCTGGTCTGGCTGAAGTGCGTTTCGGCATTTCGCCATCTTTAAGTTAGTGTGTTATTTTTATTTGGTCGAGTTAATTTTTCAAGTTAGTCAAATGTGAAAGTGGCACCACGATGTTATCTTTGACTGTTCAATCAAGCAAGAAGAATTGCATACAAATAAAAAAGTATGTGGTGATTAGTGACCGTTAGTCGATGATTATTGGGAAATCATAAGATGCGTCCTGCAAGTATTTGTTAAATGTAAACAATGTTTGTAAATCCCAGGCCCTGAAGATGATCTCAATAAAGATCGAAACTTTGGCACGATAAAGAAAATGTTTTTCTGAAACCTACACGTCAGACCGTATCTCACGATTCCCTAATAACAAATAAAAAATAAAAGAAAAAAAAACGAATTTGACAACAAATAAACAAATACCAAATCAAACAAGAAATACTTCCAAAACAGACATTAAAAGTAGTAGTAATATATTTCTTGACAAATTAATAGGACATAGGTACTATATAAATTTATAATTTAGGGGAAAAGTAGCAGGGCTCTGTACATCCTAAAGCTATCATCCGAAAATTTAAATACTTTAGGTATATATTGTAGAAACCTCGGATTCACTCAGTGGGGAGAAAGTTTACAAAAAAACCACTAATCATCTAAGTTCATTCATATTTTGCAATTAAACTCATTTGGGGGAATTTACTAAGAGTTCTCTCATAATAAATAATAATAGATGTTAACTATAATCCAAAACATCTAAAAATAACAATACCATCAACTACAATTAATTAAGGTTTTTAGTTGAGATAAAAAAGTCAATGGCACGAGCGGGATTCGAACCCACGACCTTCGACTAGATACGCCGCTGCTCTACCACTTGAGTATCGTGAAGTGTACTTCATTTTAATTCATTCATTAAATTAAGTGTCCGCGTGGATCGAGGTCACGATAACTCAAGGGGTAGAGCAGCGGCGTATCTAGCCGAAGATCGTGGGTTCGAATCCCGCTCGTGCTATTGTCTTTTTTATCTCAACTAAAAACCATAATTAATTGTAATATATTAATTGGTCAAGCGGACCACGAAATTAGTGAATTTAATACTATCAACTGTAAAACATAAACACCAATAAAATNACCCTCCTTTTTGCCATTTTTCAAATGTCGTGTAATCGGATTGGATTCTCGGCGACAAATGAAATGGCCACGGAGAGCTTTAGTGAAGTGTACTTAATTTTAATTCATAAAATTCGGACCACGAAATTAGTGAATTTAATACCATCAATTGTAAAACACAAACACCAATACAATATAAACAGCAATAAAATAATAAAAAATAAAAATTAATAAATTTAAATAAATATGACATAGCTCTAAAACAATCGCAAAATATAAATATCACAGTCCAACATCACAATCCTAACACACAAGCGCTTGTATCATTAAGGAGTAAGATAATTTTCATAGGTAGAATTTACACGCTTTATCATTATCTTTACATTATATTATGCTTTATTCTATGTTTCCACAAAACTGTGGTACATCTCCCTACCGATCTGCAGATTCCATTTTGGCTCATGGAGAGACGTTCAAAAAATTGTTTCGTGCTCACGATTATAACGTCGCGAATCCATTTTATGCCAGTTTCCGTATGGATTTGGGCAAGCCTTGTGTATCTCGGAGATGAAGTGGCAAGACAGACATTAAAAGAACAACATTCACATAGGGAATTACACGTATGGACTAACCAATATGTTCAATTAATAAAGCCCAAAAATCGTACTAAAGACATATATTGGAATGTATTGGGCAATGAAAGTACAAGGACATTTAGGGACAATGAGGAAAGGTCAAACTTTGCCACCCACCTTCATACAAAAATACCATTAGCCCTCACCTCAGGCTCGACTAAAATTTCTCCCTGATGCACAAAAAGGACGAAGAATATATTTAGAAATATACGAATTAAAAAATGTATAAACAACTAAATAAAGATTTCGAAAATTACAAACCTCATTTAAAACATTATACATGCAAGGTAAAAAGGAAGCGATCGGACAATAACCGAAGTGAACAAACAACAAACAATCCCAAAATTAGGGAGAAAACGAAAATGAGTGACACCATAAACACAATTACAAATTTCAGGTTTAATTATCAATTTCGCATCGTAAAACTGTGATGCTCTTCGCTAATTAATTTTTCATGTGGTTTTCAAAAATACAATTAACACGTTTCGTCAACTCCTTTTTAAAAATAGATTCCAAAAGAGATGAATTCGTAAGCTATGAGATCCGGCAACGCGACGTTGACCTGTCCAAAGAAGGTCAAGCGTGGAGAGGAGCTACAAAGAAAATTAAAAATTCAACGTCTGACAGTAAAGCAATACTCCTTCAAAAATTAATCACGAATATTAAAAATACAAACAAGTTTATAATGACTACGACAAAAATCAGGACGAAAATCAAACAATCAACATACATGAAATCCTAGTGATATTTAAAAAACCTAAATCAAAATGGACAGATGAGCGCACAAATCAACAACAACTCACATGCATCACATTCACTTCATTCAAACCAAATTTAAAACGATAACAGAATCATCAGATAAAGAAAACACGCTTTGTTTCATATCTGTCATTTATAGAACAGAGTCAACTATGAAAAATAAAACACAAGACACAACAGGTGGCGAAATAAGCATTATAGACAAAACCAGCGAGGATAAGCGGCCAGGATTATCTGAAAGGACAAAGATACTGGGACCAGCAGGCCAAAAAAATCTTACAATAACATTTATTTTTTTAAATTATGAATATTTTACATAATAAAATTCGGGCCGAAAATCACAAATTTCAGTTTACTTATCTAAAGAATGATTATTCGGAGATCGTGAGATGCGGTCTGGTGTGACGTAGGTTTCAAAAAAACATTTTCTTTGTCGTGCCAACGTTTCGATCTTAATTGAGATCATCTTCAGGGCTCAAAGTGTTTGTTTTCTGCGTAATTCTGCCATTCTTGTATGTCGTGGGCACTCAAGAAAAAGAGTGAGAGTGAGAGAGAGAGAGAGAGAGAGCGAGAGAGAGAGCGTGAGAGAGAGGAGTGGGGGTGGGAGGGAGAGAGAGAGAGAGTGAGAGAGAGAGAAAGAGTGAGTACCTGTATTTTTCTTTTATTTTCGTATTTTTTTCCTCAACACTATTTATTATTAAGATGAATGAAGAATGATACATCTGCACGGAAGCAACCACTTTGAGCCCTGAAGATGATCTAAATAAAAATCGAAACGTTGGCACGATAAAGAAAACATTTTTCTAAAACCTACGTCACACCCACACCTCGTCTCACGATCTCCGAATAATTATCGACTAACGGTCACTAATCACTACACAGTTTAGGGACGGTTACTAATCACTACACATTTCTAAAGAATGTCAACTTGTAACTGGACGATTTTAATCCCTTGGAAAGAGGAATGAAAAATAATAAATGCAAGTAGAGAAAAATGACTCAACCATCTAAAAAATTAAAACTTGCAATATCAAGTTGACTTACTATAAAATTTACGCTGATATATAGAATTATGACAACTCTTTTATAACAAAATAGAAATGATTTATTCTTTTGAATTTTGCTTGTTCATATAAATGCTTAATTGTTTATGTTAAGTGTAATTCAATCAGCTTTGTTCAAGTAATGAAACCGTCGACTCTTGTTTATCTGTCTCTTATTCGAAACTTGATAATTGGAATTTCTTGATAATAGAAACTCCTGAGCAGTTCTCGGTAAATCGAAAAAATTGCGTGCATTTTGATACATTCGGTAATACGAAATCTATTTCAGGCAGAGCAAAAGGGGAGAAAAAAATACTATTAATCGAAATGGAGCAACTTCCCAACTTTATAATTTGCACTTTTTCTCTGCTATATTTCTCTAAATTTCCATTTTTTTACCTCCTTACAGCCTAAAGTTCCTTCAATTTTCTCTAGTTTATTATGTTATTCTGTCAGTGTTTTGTCAACGTGTTCTCAGCATTGGTCATTTCGGAAAAGCATTTAAACAAAGGACGCGAGGCCGCATTGAAACAAAACCACTTCAAGATTTTTTTAATTATGCATAACAATGTTCAATTTTACAGTTGATCTACACTCACAGGCAAAAAATTCCACTCAATTAATTGCCTTTATTTTCTCGATAAAAAAAATCTGAACTTAGTTTGCCTCATTGTTTTTATCAAATATTTGTTTATGTTATGTTTTAAATTAGAGATATCAATTAAGAGTAAACAGTCTTATTCTTAATCCAAAACAAGGATAAAGTACTTTTCAATGTTTTTTTTACGCGATTTAAAATGTTTATTCA